CATACCAGAGCACCCACCCGTCTCAGATAAAGGAAGAAGAAAAGACAAACCAGAACAAGTTCCAAGCGGCGTCCAATGAAGAGCACCTACATTCTCAAAGAGATCAGGAGTAGTAGATCTAGCTATGCTCAGCAAGACAGTTTGCAGCTTTAATGGATTTTTAAGTGTGTGGGGTTAGCGGGGGATCTGGTGTGGTTTGCTTCTTCTTTCCTATCAAACATCTATTGTCCTTATCTCCTCCCCTCCTTTTTTAATTTTATGTTTGTTACTCTTTTATAACTCCTCTAATCTTCGGCTCTTATGTGACCTTATTGTGTTGCAAGTGCCGTAAAACTCTTACTAAAACTAAACTAGATATTTAAGCTTTGTTTTTTTTATAAGATCTATTAAATGTCCCCAGTCTTATTCATCTAATGCACAGTAAAATTATAAATGGGCTGATCCAACAATGTCATGCTCCTAACTGTGCCTGAACTACAACAGGGAACTGCTACTCTTTCTTTCCTAATCCTTACTATCGTCATTTTCCTCTACTTCTTTGGTACGTTTGTCACACTCTTGTGACCCGCTATTTCCGCGGTGCCTTGATAGTCGAAGTAGACTTTGTGCTGCTGAAGCCAGAGAGGTGAGCTGAGTAAGTCGGATTCCCTGTATAAGGACTTCTCTGTTGACAACAACCCCTTGGCGCTCATATATGACCTTATGCAGTTGCGAGCGCCGTAAAACCTCTACTAAAACTAAATTATATATGTTATTACCAGAGAAAGTTGAACATTTTGCACACAGCCTGTTACAGTTGATATGTGTCAGTGTCTTGTCAAAACAGATTTTTGCTACTCATCAGGGGTGAAGCGTCTATATAATCAATAAATAATCACTGCTTCCCTTTCTAATTTTGAAATATTGTCGCTGTCAAATTCACCTATAAACATAAACCTCAAAAATAAAATGTAAAAAGGCGTTCATAATCAATAATGAACAGTATGCCTAACATTCAAAAAGGTTTCACTGCACAGAAATAGCCTGCTCACCCCTCTCGGGCCATTCCATAAGCAGTCACAAGCTTTGATTAAGTAAGTTTAAAGTGAGACTGGAAGAGTCTACCAATAGAATTGAAGTTGAAGGGAACATGTGCATAGCAGTCAAAACTGTTTCATTGCCACAAATACCCTGTTCACCACTTTGGGGCCACAGTTATAATAAGCAATCACAAACTCTGATTATGTAAGCTAACTATTACACTGGTCGAGTCTACCTCACAAATGTGAGGGGAACTAACTCCTAACAATCTCTTGACTGTTGCTAGTGCTTGCTTTTTTCCCTCGACTTTTTACCGCCCTATAAGCAGATTGTGACCTCGATTATGACACCAGCTCCTGGCCGCGAAAGGCTAGACAAAAACAGCCAAATGTGAAATTCAAAAAAAAAAAAAAAGATAATTGTCACGTTCTACCAAAGAGTTAGACTCACGGGTAGATCTATAACATATAGATCTAGTACTGACATCTCTGCTTCTATGCTTTGTGTTTGTGTATTCACATGTAAAGTTAAATTTAATTGTAATTGTAATTAATATTTAATAAGATACTTTCCCGATTATTTTGGCGGTTGAACATACAATGTGAATTCCGGATTTGTTTTCATTCACAACTCAGAGTCGCCGCCTCGAGTAAGATTCTTGTGTGATATCTACAGGTCATATCTGGTCCCGTTTCACTTCGATAACCCTGTCAAACAAGTCAGCCTTCGCCCCTGCTACTCATCAACATTTTTGAATGAGAACAGAATTTCCAAAATCCATTGTTTTTTTTCTTCCAAAAACCAAAATTGCAATAAATTTTTCCCATTGTAATTTTTTTCAGTTTTATGATTTTCAATGTCCAAAGCCTCTGATAAGACAGGCATTATATAAATATAATGCTACGAAAGTTAATACGTTTCAGGGTGCAGTGTTCTTCCTAAAGTAGGCCCAGATCTATGCCATGGCGAAAACTGAAAAAACATTTTAAAATTCCATGCACATATTCAGCTATCACTATTTATGAGCAGGGACCTTCACGTTTAAGTCTAAACTAAGTATTTGTGTATATGTACAACAAGGTTTTCAAGTTTTCAACAATACTTTTAGTTTTAGGTTACGAATGGCTGGCAGATCAGAGAGTGGCTGAGTTCGCAATGGTTCCAACAATACCACACACTCACACAAAGAGAGAGAGAGAGAGAGAGGGGGGGGGAGAGTGAGAGAGAGAGGGGGGAGATAGATGAGGGAGAGAGAGAGAGGGGGGATAAATGAGAGAGACAGAGAGAGAAAGAGAGAGAGAGGGGTGAGATAGATGAGAGAGAGAGAGAGAGAGAGAGAGAGAGAGAGAGAGAGAGAGAGAGAGAGAGAGAGAGAGAGAGAGAGAGAGAGAGAGAGAGAGAGAGAGAGAGGGGGAGATAGATGAGGGAGAGAGAGAGGGGGGATAGATGAGAGAGAGAGAGAGAGAGAGAGAGAGAGAGAGAGAGAGAGAGAGAGAGAGAGAGAGAGAGAGAGAGAGAGAGAGAGAGAGAGAGAAAAGGGGGGTGGGTGGATTTTAAAGAAAGACACGCCTGTCCATATTCTTGTTCTTACTCCAAAGCTCATAGTTCATAGTATCATGTATAATAACCCGGCACCGCTAAGCTCACATGTATGCTCGGCTCCATGGTTCCCACCAACCAACTTTACCACGACTTCTGCGAGTGACACAGCACGGGGGTGGGGTGGTGAGATTATCCTGGCCCAAGTGTGTCTGTGCGGGCAACTATCTCGGTGCTAACCCTAACCACATGTTTATCTCTGTGCGCTTTTGGTGGTCACGTGGTCGTGCCCTGAACATGTTGCCTGTACTGTACTGTACAACACGTCAGCAAGTGAAGGGACCCCCCCCAAAAAATTGCTCTTTTTCTCTCGATTTGCTTGGCTTTAGATTGAAAGAAGTCTTTTTGTGGAAACGTCGATCCTTTTTTAGCTTAAAGCGAGTTGTTTTTTTTTTTGTTTTTTTTTTGGGGGGGGGGGGGTTGTACGCACTGGCAATACAAATATTATGTTAAATTTAAATAAGCGCCAAAGATTAGAGATTGTGCTCGCGAGTAACATACAAAGAAAATATGGTGGAGAGATAAGGATAAGGACAATAAGGTGACAGATGTTGGATGTGAAGGAACACCAGAGCACCCTACCTCCTACTATTATTGCAGTTTATAGATGTTCACCCATCCCCTTCCCTCCACATTCACCCAGAGGCTGGGAGAAATGGTCTTAGTCTGAGATGGAAAGGGGTAGCCTACAGGTTTTTTTTCCTGTTTTTTTGTTTGTTACGGCACTTGCAACACATCTAGGTCATGCAAGTGCCAAAGATAAGAGGTATTACATGTTACAAGAGAGTAACAAACACAAAAAAAGAAGGGTGAGAGATAAGACAGACTGACGTTTGATTTTTATCTTTTTTTTAAAGGAGTAAACCACACTGGTGCACCCGCCAACCACCCACATGGTAAAGAGGGTTTGACTGATGTCAGACAGACAGGATAGCTCACGGACCCCCGTACAGAAGTGGTGGCAGTGCAGGTTTTTTTTAGTAGAGGTTTTACGGCGCTCGCAACTGCATACGGTCATATTATGAGCGCCAGAAGATTAGAAGTGTTACAAGAGAGTAACAAACATAAAAAAAGAAGAAGGGGCGATAAAGACGATAGATCTTTGATAGGAAAGAAGGAGCAAGCCACACCAGAGCACCCGCCAACCACTCACAGCGGTTTTTTTTTGTTTTTAAAAAAATAGTACATGTAGAGGGTTTTGGCGCTCGCAACTGCATAAGGTCATATGAGCGCCAAGGGGTGGGTGTCAACAGAGAAGTCTTTACAGGGAATCAGACTTAGACTGTTCACCTCTCTAGCTTCAACTTCAACAGCACAAAGGTCTGCTTCGACTATCAAGGCACCCCAAAATAGGAGGTCACTAGAGAGTGACAAACATACAAAAGAAG